TAGCTACCTTTATTATCTATTTGGAGCAAATCGTTACAGATGGAGATGGAGACTGGTTTGAGATCATGCCCTGTTAGTGAAAAGGAATCAAATGCTGAGTCAATTTTATCCCCAATGGACCATAAAAATAATTTTCAGCTAAATAATATTTCAGACATATAAGCAAATGAGAACCTGGATATATAAACAATTTTAGGGGCTATCTTTTATAAGTAGGTTGAATATTATTTATCTTATCATTTTTATTTTAAAATAGTAAACTTCCAAGTACACATGATAAAACATGTGTACTTTGACCTCTGGTAAAGAAATACTCAGATCAATCAGCACCTCCAAGCCTAGTCTTTGTACACAGTGGTCATTCTGAGGTGCCTCTACAAAAGCCATGCCTGGTAAGAGACAAGCTTCCTGGACCACTTTTAAAAGCTTTATACATATTCACTACAAACAGCAAGAAGAAGTAACAATATTTAGCTGCAATTTTAAGCTTGGTTTCCAAAGAATTTTACTCCCCTATAAAAATTTCTGAAATGTTCTACCATGCCTCTTTGAGTCTTTATAAAACATTAAAACAAAAGTTTGTAAAGTCAACATTCCCAGTCTCAAATCTAGTGTTCTCTGTTAGTTGGGATCCAAAGTCATTTTATGATTTTCATTTCTATCACGGCCTCAGTAAACCCAATGACTTTAACAATTACTTTTCCATTTCCCAAGCAAGTTTCAGAGCCTCCAGGTTTTTGGAATTTAAAGCTAATATTTTTTTTCTTCTTTGGAAAAAGAAGACAGTTCTTCCTACTTCCTTATCTGGATGAATTGAGGGTGGGATGGTATTTATACTTATCCTTCTAGGTTTGCTCTGGCATCGATCTGAGCTTGCATCCTTCACTAGACCTGTCACTGCTATTTTGCAAATCTGAATAGACAAAAAAAATACTACCACGTCTAAACCTAAACAACCTGCATTGATCCAGCCAAAAGTGAACTCTTCTCCCATCAAATCTTCAGGGTAGTTTTCTGAATATATTTCTTACATTCCCCACTAAGTGGTCAGTATGAGGGAATGGAAAACACTTTGAATATACACTGTTTTTAGTATCCCTTGGTAGCTAGCTCAGTGCCATGTGCTAGAAACAATGTCTAGTAAGTCTATGGGAACTGTAGTACTCAAACTCCATCAATGACAGCTTTATCCACCCATACAATTCTGCCAAAGTAAAAAGTTCAAGAGACCCCAATGGTGACACTAAGTTGTTTTGTCAATGTGTGTAACCAACTATTGCAAAAATTAACTCCTCACACATCTGTGATGATTTGACAAGCAATATAGTAATGTAAAATTCATTAAAAAATTACTCAAATAGGTAACAATGAACTATGAAATAGGCTAGTTACCCAACTTTAGAGGATATCAGTCTGTGCCTCTACAGTTTAACAAGTGCCATGATAAATAATTCACCCACTGGAATCAGTTCACACAGCCTAACAGATCCCATGAAGCACAAGACACAAGCACACAGGACTAAATGCTTATCGATAGCCATGTCTTAACGACCTGTTGGACCATGCCTAGGATTAAGTAAGGATTCAAACTGCCTTCTCAAGATAGAAGTTAAGAAAAATAAGTAATTGAAGTAATTACTTATTCAATAAAGTAGGCACAATAAATGTTATGGGTCAACCAAATAAAAACAGTCTTTCAATTGAGAAAATATAAAAAGCTAACTCTTAGCACCTTTTAGCTAATTTTTATCAGTCTATAAGGGATATGATATTAAAAGAACTCATTTTTATTTCATTTCTTAGAAATACATTTTCCATATTAGTCGAATTAAATACAACATTATTACTATGTTTGATTAAACTTCAATAATAATGGGTATACTTACTATGTGAAAATTAATAAACAAAAACCTCATTTGAAAGGATGTCAGGAGTCTAGAGGAGAAAACTGTCATGCACATGTAGACCAATTGACCCCAACCAGAGCAGACATACCTGCATCTTGGACAGGAAGTGATACCACCTTACTACCACAGCAGGAGGAAGAAAACATTCCTCCTCGCCCAGTAACAGCTCGGCCAATGGGAGACTGCAACAGCTCAGCCAATGAAAAGTCACTACACTTCGAATTTGCAGTTTCTTCCAATGGATTCACTTCGTTTACCACAGCCCCTCCCACGTCCATAAAATTTGTCTCTTTTGTATCTCTGTACCTATGTATGGTTTACCATGAGACCACACATCCCAAATTGCAATTCGTTGTTGTTCCCAAATAAACTATTTTGTTGGAGAAATATCTGCCTGGCTGTTAAAAGTCAACAGCTATTTTTCTGAGCCAGGCAGTTAAACTACATTATTTCATTTATTCCTTTCAGACAATTCTTAAGTTGGTGGCCCCCATTTTATAGAAGAGGAACGTGTGGTCGAGTGACTCGAGTCACTCCCCAAGGCTGCAGCTGGCGAGGGCACGTCAGAGACTGGCCAGTGCCTGCTTCGTCCTCACCTGCACACTCTCCGCACTCCATAACTCTCACTCTCCGACCTGGTGGCTTTTGGAAGCCTTCAAAGTAAGTCTATCAGATAACTGTGGGCCAATAAAGGTCGTGACTTATTTGCTGAAGACCGTATAAATGTTTTATTTACCTGGACGGGTGTCCATGGTGAGGGTGAAGTTTACAACTTTCTCGGTAGTTTCTGTTACAGAAGAGGCTTGTCCTATCTCCCACCATTCAATGACAGGGTAGGGAGGAAAAGTTTAAGCTGAAACAATAATTAACCCCAACCTTTATGAGTTCACTCACGTTTGTACCTCTGGTCTTCCTTCCCAGAGACATTTGGTCGTCATCTGCAGGCCATCCTACTACTGTGCGTGCTGCACCTCAGCTCAACTCTGAGAGCCACGGACGCAAAACTGAGGCCAGAAGGCAGGCAGGGCTGAGCAGAAAAGCCCGTTCTGCATTTTGTGGTGGTCCCCAAAAGGAAGGGGTTAGAATCAAATCCACCGGACATTCTCCTCATATCTCCACTCTTGGATCCAAATTTAATTCATAATCTCAATGTCAGCTTACAGATGGAGAGTTGGCAGGAGTAAGTACAGTTTTTGTTTTTTCCTCTGGAAAAACACACATATGTACACACATGTACATATGGGGTGAAGCAGATGCTAGATATTATTTCCTCTCTATAATTTGCAAATTTATTGCAACGAATAGGCATTTATTTCACAACTTATAAAAATCATAACCATCATTCAAATATTTTTTTCTCCCTACTCCCACTGCTTTCTCACAGAAATCTGCATTACTCTTAAATCTGTTGCATTGCCCTGGCCAGTTTGGTTTAGCAGTTAGAGCATCGGTCCACAGACCAGAAAGTCCCAGGTTCGGTTCCCGCTAAGGGCACGTACCTCGGTTGCAGTTTGTCCCTGGCCCCAGTTGGGGTCGTGTGGGTGGCAACCACTCGATGTGTCTCTCTCACATCGATGCTTCTCTCTCTTTCCCACTCTATCTAAAGATAAATGCAAAAATGTCCTCAGGTGAGGATAAAAAAAAAAAAAAATCTGTTGCATTTTATAAGGCAATAAATAAGAGTAAAATCTAGAGCAAGTAGTAGAAAAAAAATTTTTAATTGCTGTGGTTACTATTTTCAGAAGCAAAATGATTTAAAGACAGGAATAGATAAAAGCACCTCAAAGTCTCATAAGACCTGTATTCATAAATTATATGTATGTAAAAATAATAGATATTGCCCGGCGGGTGTGGCTCAGTGGTTGAACGTTGACCCATGCACCAAAAGGTCACCGGTTCAATTCCCAGTCAGGGCACATGCCCAGGTTGTAGGCCAAATCCCTAGTGGGGGGCATGCAGGAGGCGGCCAATCAATGTTCTCTCTCATCGATGATTCTATTCTCTCTCCCTCTCCCTTCCTCTCTCTCTAAAAATAATAAAGAAAAAAAATAGCTCTTTAGGTACATGGTCCAGTTCAATTTCGAAAAATATAAGACATTTTTCAAAACTGGCAATATGAAATAAATTAATGAAACACGTTACTATAGTAATATCATATAAATATTCCATAGCAACATTAACAATAATTGCAACAATTACTGTTAACAACAATGCCTGACATTTACTGAATGCTTTGTAGGGAACAGGCAAGGGACTAGGTGCTTTAAATGCATAATCTCTTGGAATCATCAAAGAACCCAATGATAGAGGTACTTTTCTTTTTCTTATCCCCATGGATAAGAAATCGAGGCTTAGAGAAGTTGAATAATTTGTACAACTAGCAGCATTGGGACTCAAAATCCCCTTTGACTTAAACACTATGCTAAAATCTAAATGTCTTCATATCATTCAAATCAGTTAAATTGGCTTCTAGGATCAACACCTCCAGACAATCACCGTCCAGGGATGGACCAAAAATGTGGCAATGATAGAAACTTCTAAAAAAGTAACAAACTTATGAAAACTCAGAAAATTTGGACGTGAGGGGACTGTTAAAAGTAGATGTTGCTCTGGCTGGTGTGGCTCAGTTGGTTGAGCATTGTCCTATGCACCAAAAGGTCACAGGTTCGATTCCCCATCAGGGCACATGCCCGGGCTACGGACTCAATCCTCTGTAGGGGGCATGCAGGAGGCAGCCAGTTGATGTTTCTCTCTCACCTGAATATTTCTCTCTCTCCCCTCTCCTTCACTCTCTCTAAAAATCAATTAAAAATATATTTAAAAGTAAATATTAATTCCCAAGACAGAACGACACCAAAAGACTCATTAGAAAATCCTGAACCACTTTGTAAGTAGAAATTCTACCAAAGGTTTTTCCCTGATTTCTTTTAGAATCTATGCATCTTAACTAAAATCTTTGCATTCCTCTTTATTGTTCGTATATTTCATGATATCATATAAAGCAGATCATGTGAGTATTTGAAAAAGTATGTATGTAAACCATAACTTTCCAGTCACACTAAGAGTATAAAAGTTTATAACTCTGGACCATACCTTGGTTTTCATGAACTTGGAGTGACTTTTGTAAACCTCTATTTGTTTGATCTCTTCTTCACGATCCTCAGTGTTCAGCACACCATTGGCTTTTAACATCTGGATCTCATCCTCGAGATCCCTTATGTTTCGCTCCAATGAAGCAATTTTTGTGTCCTGTTGGTTAAATAAAATTTTTAAAAGAGAGAAAGAAAAAAATTTTTCAGTATCATCAAAACAGATAGGAATTTAGTAGTAATACATTAACTATGACGTAGACCAGCCCTGAACTCAAAACATTTTTTTTCTTCCACTTCTGAGGATCACTTAGGAGATTACTTTTTAAGCTCCCAATAAAGATCATGTCTCAATACAACAGTTACCTAGATGTGTTTGTCTAATATCTGGGGATCAAATTACCAAAGCAACAGTGATAAAAGCGATCTAAAGTATTAAAAAAATACAACACCATTTCACTGGACAAATTTGTAATTTAAGATATAGTTTACCACTATATATTCTTGAGTCTACTTGTAAACACAAAAACGGTTTGTGCATGTGTGTATTCTGTGGCTGGTTTTCTAAGGCATGCTTGGAATTTACTGGGAGAGGAAAGGAAATTAAAATCTACTAATGGGAAAAAGGATTCTCATCTAAAATGCAGACATAAGTGAAATGAAATAACTGAAACTTGACTTAGTATGACTGATACATTAAATATTAAAAATTTATAGCAACTGGAAATAATATATCACAACGTCATGATTTATTTGGAAAGCAGTCAGCTCCCTGTGTGACAAAAAACATTACCACCTTGAAGGTTATTTCTAACCTATTGATTTACAGTCAAAAAAACTAGACTGTGGGATTAACTGAGGAAAAAAAAAATCATAGAGAATGTTTTTAAAAAGGAAATGACAGACTTTATACACAAGATAGAGCATAACAAGAAATGATGCATTAGAAAGTAGAGAAAAGAACACTCTTGGGAGGGGGGAGGTATTTCCCAAATTTGATTATTAGTTTCAAATCAATCTTGTGAGTGAGACGTGGAAAGTTTCACTTTAAGTTTTCTCACTATCACCATCTACCTGCCATTTAATAGTACAGATTCCAGGAGCTTACATACATTTAAAACTGAATATGAATGACAAACCACCAACTCAGTTTTTAACAATTCATTTTTTTAGAATCTAAAAAACTAAGAGTTCCAAAAATAAAGGCAATGAATAAGTTATTAAATTAAAAACTAATTCATTACAAAATGTGTCCACCCTGACTTTGCAACTATTTTCTTTTTTATTTCCCTATATCATATGCTGGAAACGTCTCATGTGGCAATATAATTATTATTATTCTCATTAACATTGTCATCATACTTAAAAGGAAAACCAGAAGTAGCAACAGCTACTTATTGAGCTCCACTATCTATGTGCCGAGATCCAAGGGCTCAAAATGCCAGAGAAACTTTTATTAATTCTCAGAAAAAAACCCAAGATGATGAAATAAAGACATTCTGAAATTTGCAAGATTATTACAGAATAGTATTCCATTTTCCTTTAAAACGGTATTTACTGCATCTTTCTCAGTTATAAAAGTAATACTCTTTAAATTCATTGAAAATGGAGAAAATCCCCTCTAATCCCACCATCCAGAGATAACCATCATTAATGTTTTTATGTATAGCTGCCAGTCTTTTTGTATTTTAGATGCAATTTCTGGAAGTCTATTGTACTTCTAGTTTGAGAAAGGGGAGTATTATAAACCTCAAGTGTGTGTGCCTCCAAAATTCATATACTGAAGCCCCTGACCCTAATATGATGGTATTTGGGAATTAAGCCTTTGAAAGGTAATGAACGTTAGATGGGGTTATTAGAATGGTGCCCTTCTGATGAGATTAATGCCCGCAGAAGAAGATGCAGTAGAAAGGTCGCTTTCTCTCTCTCTGCTGTGGAAGAACACGGCAAAAAGGTGGCCCTCTGTCATGCAGGAGGACAGCTCTCACCGGAATCCTACCATGCTGGCACCCTGAACTTGGACTTTCAGTCTCCAGAACTCTGAGAAAATAAATTTCTAAAGCTTCCAGTCAAGATGGTAGGATAGGAAAATGTGTTACTGGCATCCTCCCATGACCACATCAAAATTACAACTAAACTACAGAACATCTGTGACTGACAACTGCCTGAAATCCAGCTGACAGAAGCCCTATAACTAAGGATATACTGGAGCAGCCACACTGAACTGGTAGAAGGGGTGGAGACGTGGAATGGGCTGGTCCCACACCCACGTGTGGCCGTTAAAAATCAGGAGGGATGCCCTGGCCGGGTATCTCAGTTGGTTGGAGTAATGTCCCGTACACCAAAAGAATGCAGATTCGTTTCCCATTCAGGGCACATACCTAGGTTGCAGGTTTGATCCCTGGATGGGGTACACACAGGAGACAATGGATCAATATTTCTCTCATACACTGTTGTTTCTCTCTCACTCTCTCTCTCTAATTAACTAACTAAATAAACATGTCTGTGGGTGAGGATTGAAAAAAATCAAGAGGGATATCTCTGCTGTGGAGTTCCTCCTGAGGAGTGAGGGGTCCTGGGCTCACACCAGGCTCCTCAGCCCAGAGTTCCAGGGCTGGGAAGAGAAGTCCCCATAACTTCTGGCTACAAAAACCAGCAGAGATTGTGGCTCAGTGAGAGGGAGGCCTTCTGGAGTCCACGAGTTCCTCTTACAGGGCTTACGTATGGACTTGCTTGCTAAGGGACTCACTCACTCTGAGCTATTTTGCTGGGCAGCAGCTCGAAAGGCACCAGGGATGCGAGGGGAGGAACTGAATTGTCTTACTTCAAGGCAAGAGCTGGAAGGGCAGTTTTCTTCCAGACAGAACTGCTGACAGGAAGAATTGATCCTTTGCTGAACCTACCCTCTTCAGGTGCAGGAGGGAGCCATATCTGAGTCTCCATCAACCTGGCTCACACTATTAGCCCTATACTGGTAATTTCCTCAGACCCCCACCCCACCCAACTTACAGGTCCACCTACACCCAAGCTGCTTCCAGTGGTTTTTCCATACAAATAGCCTGTCCTGGCTCAGGCTGCTTAGTTTCCTAAAATCTCTCAGAAGGTTACAAAACCCAAACAAGCAGCATCTGTCCTCAGTGTGCCCCATACCTTTTGTTCATTGGCCCCATGCCTGGCACTAGTGGGAGCAGTTTTCACAAAGCATGGGGCTCACTATGATCACATATCAGTCTACGGACCTTGATCAACAAACTTAGGGCCAATTTGGTTTAAAGATGAAGACGTGATCTAATGTTCAGGAAACATCCCTACATAATTATATTACACTTTATTTAGAATAAAATTCTAGACTATTATTTCCAGATACCACAGAGGCTCTTGAAGGTTTAAGTTTTAAAATTCATGTACTTGTAGCTGCAAACAGAACTGAACAGCCCTTGGTCTCAGGCTATCTGAGTAATGCCCTCCCTTTGGAAGGATTTACTATGTGGGATGAACCGCGGTTATGTGAGCCCAAGCTAAGCACTCCAGAAAAAAAAAAAGGCGACTTGGGCCTTAGCCATGTTAGAAGAGAAAAGAAAAAAAACAAAAATCAAAAACTTGTCTTCTTGGGCCTTATCAAACTATAAAATGATGATGATCTGAATTAAAAGATGGCAGGTGACATGGTGTTTTTTTGATGGTGGTGCTTTTGTTTGTGTGTTTGTTCAGATGGTATCTAATACTTCATAACAAAATATACAAGCACAGTATCACATTGGACTAGTTCAGATTAAAGCAATTAGGGTGCTTTGATGTCTTTTCGTGGTCTCCTTTTCCTACTTCTGACTCATTCTGCACGATGCCCAAGCCCTGGAAGCACCCTTCCTGGCGTGCTGTCTCTGTGCACAGTACTAACGACTCATGGGCAGAAGATGTGTCTCTACTGGTTCTTGCTGGACACTATGTGACCTTTGAGGTTTTGGTGTCATGCACAAATTTCTTGTTGTTGTTAATGAGCTCAAGTCTAACAAAAAGAGCTAGAGATAGAACAATCCAGCTGACCCTTAGAGAGTCACAAACCTGGATGCCAATCCCGGCTCAGGCTTTTGTATCCTAGAGAAGATACTAAGCCTTTCTGTGATAGGATCATGCTCAAGCACACATTAGTAAAGCTGCAAGTGACGTACAATGCATGCAAAGTACCTATTATGGAGCCTCCTCCGGAGAGGAAAGGTTTGCCATTATCATCACAGCCCATTCGCCAATTCTGCAAGGTACAGGTGTAGGAGATACCCGCTACTCATTTCAGTCCACCCTGTTTAACTTTGCGAACATGTTCCTAACCTTGCCATGGTAGCATACATCTACTACTTCTTTGTCAGTCTGCTCAGCTTCTTCTCCTTTCAGGAGCTACATTTCCCCAACTCCCTGTGGTTTCAAGGTGGTTTTGACGTGTGACTCTGCCCTGGGGCAAGTTCCCTGGATCCTCTGGACACAATAATTGATCCAGGAATGAGCGCATAATGCCATCAGGCCAATATGAGTCCTTTTAAGGAACATAAATACAGGGCCATCTCCTCTTCTGAGTTAATGCTTCTCCTTTTCTGAGATTATGAACGATACAGAAAATAAAGGCCTATGGCTGGTTGTGAGCTATTGGATTCATGAATTAAGAATCTGCCTGAATAATTGGGCCCTTTTAACATCCTTTGAACAGCTAGATGCAGCTATGTCTGAATCATCCACTTCCCAGAACACCAAAATACAAAAGCAGGGTTTCAGTCATTTGTTTTTTATGGGTTTTTGTTTTTGTTGTTATTATTGTTAATCCTTACCAGAGGATATTTTTTCCATTGACTTTTAGAGAGTGGAAGCAAGGGGGAAAGAGGAAAGAGAGAGAGAGAGAGAGAGAGAGAGAGAGAGAGAGAGAGAGAGAGAGAGAATGAGGAGAGAAACACTGATGTGAAAGAGACACATCGATTGGTTGCCTTCACATGCACCCCGACCAGGGCCGGAGATCAAACCTGCAACTCAAGTGCATGGCCTTGACCAAGAATCGAACCCGAGACCCTCAGGTGCACAGGCTGACGCTCTAACCACTGCACAACACCAGACAGGGCAAGGATTTCAGTCATTTGTAACCATAAGAAAATAATATACAAGTGATAGTGTGAAAGA